CGGGCCCGCCGCAGCCAGCGCCGCCACGAGGCCCCGGGCTTCACCCTGCTCCCAGCGGCATTCCCAAATTTCCCTTCCCTTGTACCCCGCCGTGAGCACGGTAATGCGAAGGAAAAGGTGATGAACAGGGATAAACCCCGGGGAGAACATRCACAGCTCCCGGAGCTGGGTCTGGTCAAGGAGCCCTGATCCAGGCAAATRTAAGTACACAAAAAGCCACAAAGTTGCCCAGGAAAAGGCTCAGGAAACTCACCTGCTTCTCTGCAGAAGATGAACGCTAAGAGAAGGCTTCCTGAGCCATTTCCCGTGTTACAAAGCCAGCCCTCCTATAAACGCTGTGGAAAAATATTATTGATGCAGCAAAGGTCGGATGGGTTAGCACAGGCCTAAGGGCAGAGCCCTTGCCAGGCTCAGGATGAACGCCGGGACCACGAGAGCTGGGTCCTCCTGCCCACAGGCACCACCTGGCTCACGAGGGAGGGGAAGTAATTAAAGGCTATTAATATTATATGCAGTGTCTTAAGCTTTAGGTCAAGTGTTTTTCTAGAATAATGGTGCGTTTGTCCCAGAGCTCTCTGCTCTATGCAGATGCCTCTGGGGAATCTATGGGGTCTGAGGCTACGAGACGGGTCACGCCAGTGCRGGACTGGACGTCTGTCACGCTGACTCGCCACGCAGGCTCGTGCACACACCGCAATCCTAAACACACACGTGCAGCAGCTAAAGCCAGCGAGACCTGGGGYAACCAAAGGCCACCTCTAAAAACATGAGCTTCCAATGAAGAAAAAAAACAAGATTTCAGTGTCATWAAAGCAATAATGAAAAGATTGCAAGAAATTCCATTTAGTTGGTTAAAAGGAAAAGGCAGCAATGTCATTCCTCACAAGAAACAGACTTTTCATGAAAAAGGGAAGCGTGCTTCCTCTATCAACAGCCTCYTAGTGAATCACGTCTCAGAATCGATGGTTCCTGTTTCCCTTATTTAGCAATGCCCAGTCAGCTTCCAGTCACTAGCCTGATGTTTAGGCATGTGAGTAAAACACAGCAAAAAAGAGCAATGCTTAAAGGATGCACAGGGGAACTGAACATTAATACTGTGCAAGTGTTTGAATTTCTCACTAAATAAAGTTTCTTTCAATTAAAAACCTCAGTAGYGCTATATCTTATTACAGGTTGATTTCATAGTAATTTAAAAGCTCAATTAAATAAACTTGAAGCCAAGAGAAAATGAGAGACTTAAGGTGGCTGAGTAAAGACAACTTGTATATGTTTTCAGGGTGGATGTAAAATTTGTAAGAATTCTTGCCACATTAGCAATATTAGCACACATAGCAATATTCCACACYGTGGATTCTAGACAAATGTACTGCTTACCAAAGTTTAAAATATAATAAAGATGTTATTAAAAAAACTATTGGTATGGAAAGGAGAACAGACAAAGAAGGCAAGAGAGGATTTTAAAATACATTGCTTTCTTTAAAATTTGGTTATGATTTTTTAATGTAGCATTTAACTATAATTTAAAATGATTTAAAACAGCTTTGTCTGGACTGTTTCCTCCCAACTAGACCATACATGTGTAGCTTTGATAAGCCACAAAGTGCTCACTCACTTGCGTAACCTTGCTGTACTATTACTCTGCTATAAAACATACACCCTTTTCTAATCAAAATTCATCTTTCATCAATACGCTTTTCATCAATACCACATCCTACAGGCAAGAAGAAAAAAATCCATTTATTCACCTCCTCCTGCACAGCTTAATGCCACAACTGGAAGAGCAGCAGTCCCACTGTTATTACCAGGCAAGAGCAGTCCGATAAGGAAGCCAACGGAAAAATGTCTTATTCCATTAAAGTCAGGAGAGTTCCTATAACTGCCTTGAAATTTGTTGCTGTTTTTCTGCTTTTTATGTTGCAGTTTCCCAAGTAAAGATCATAAAGATTAAATTTTACTGTCATTTTACTGACTAGTGCTGTTCCTTAAGCTGTTGCATCACTTCATCTGCCTCGATTAAAGCAAGACTTKAGGCGGATTAATAAGTTCCCAAGCACTAGAAAAGGCAGAAAGGCACATGAGAACGCAATACGTCTGCTTTATGACTACTTTCATCACTAGGGCAGTAGCTGAGGAAAAGGAACATTTTCTTTACTTGATCATATCACTTTACCACATTATATGTAAAGTGAAGGGATAAATGTACTTAAGATATTAAAGCTATTCTAGCAAATTTTAAGTTTGAGAAATGATTGGTAACACAGTGCTACTTATGATTGCTGATGAGAACGACTCAAAGAAAGGTAAAAATTGGGGTGTTCCACAGAGGCGTGAGTTATCACCCCTCGGGATAAAAGGTCATCTCCAAATTGCTTCCTGTCCTCAAGGGGATGAGCTATTTTCCRAAAGCTGTTCTGTGCTTATCTCGTCTCTGCTTCCTCTGGAGTTCGGCGGGGTAGTGAGGCCGGGGAGGCTCCTGACTCAGCGCGGAGCGTCCCGGCTCCCTCCGCGTYGAGTCACCGCCGCGGGCAGAGGCAGCCGGGTCGCTGCCGTCTGGGGCGGCTCGCAGCACCCCTGGGTCACTCGGGCCAGACGGGGCGCCCGCATGGCCCTACATGGCGCTGTGAGCATGTTGCTAAGCTTAAGAATAGCTTAAGAATAACTAAACAATGCTAAGAATAGTTTAAGGCAAGAAATACCCTACGTGCATAATTTTTTTTTTCCCCTCGACTAGTTTGATTCTCAGCATGACTAACTACTGAAAAAAAAAAAAACCCAAAAAAGTCAGAAAAGCTACCAAGATCACATTACAGACTGTGAGCAAACAAAGTCTGTGCTTCCATATTTACTCTGCTGCTGTGTYCACTGTTAGATTTATAGCTACTGCCTGAGGTGAAAATAAAACAATAAGTGGGCAGAAGAACTGGGATTTGTTTTTAAACACGGTAAC